CCATGCCATGGCTGGTGGTGGTACACAACTGCAATCCCAGATGCCGGGGGTGGGGGTGGGGGTGGGGAGGAGCTGAGGCAGGGGCATCCAACTTTGAAGCCAGCCTGGGAAATGGGGTGAGGCTCTCTCTCATAATAAAGGGCTATGGCACAGCTTAGTGGGAGAGATGCCCATGGGTTTTATCCCTAGTGCTACAAAACAAAAGCCAAGCCTCTCTTAAGGGAGAGTGGGTACCAGGCCCAGAAGCAGCCCTGGCATGGGAGACTTGGGCTGGAGTTAAGACTGGGGGCAGGACAAGGGGGCACCCATTTCAGCAAGAAGCAGGGTCTACAGCCCACACACTCCCACTTCTGACAGCTCCAGTGGCCCTGTGAACACCATCTGAAGGGCTTTTTCTGCTGCCCAATGACAGTACACATTCCCAAGTGTTCCACACACGATTCTGCAGTATACCAGCATTGCAGGACTTGCTAACCTGAAGGAGGACTGACATACTCTCCAGTGTCTGCCAGGCAAAGGCCACTCAGCTATGCAGGAGTGGAAGTGGCCACCGAGACACAAGACAAGCTAAGGAGAAAACCCAGGAGAACATGGTCAGGGATAGGGATGCAAGATTGGCTTTCTGCTGGGAGCTAAAAATCCTTTCACTAAAGTTCAAAGAAGTCAGTGGGAAAAACAAATCAAATAAGACGCAAGTTGTGCTGGCACTAGGTATTTCAAAAGGAAACAGGATACACACCACTGCAGTGACCTGCAAGGCCATGGTGAACCAGAGCCAAGTTGCAAGAGCTAAGAGGCACTGGCTCCAGATAGAACATAAAATGCACTGGGGCAGAACAACCACCAGCCACTAGACTTGTGCCAACAAAGCCATGCTTTAACTCGGGAATAGGACTTGGTATGGCATTATTAAAATCATGGTGACCATGATCAGCCTGCCCTCAGCATTAGGGAAAGAATCAACCCAGTGATAGTAGAGGACAAATGGGGATGGAGTGGAGTGCATGTCAGTTTCCCACTGCTGTGCCTGTGGCAGCTCCTGCAACTCCTTGGCCGACATACTCTGCATGATCGCGGCCTGCGACACAGAGAAGTACAGGTTCTTGAGCATCTTGATGGGGTTTCAGGCCCATGTTCTGCTTCATGTGGCTCCTTAGGAACAAGGGCTCCCCCTCCAGCAAGCAGCTCGATCTCCAGGTCCTCATCTTTCTCATCATCCACCTTTGGGAGGATGCTTGCTTCCTTGTCGAAGTCTTGAAACTGCTCTTTGGAGAGCACGGTGGCCACAACCACCTGCTTGATCTACTTCTTGGGGTCAGAGATGCACCTGAGGTGTTTACGCTCCAGGGTGTCATCCTCTTCCTGTGGGGGCACTGATGAGTGACAGGTGGCTGGGTCTGTCTGGGTTCCGTGGGGAGGTCTTCTCACTGACCGCCCCGACCAGGTTGCTCTGCCGCCGATTTGGGTTCAGATCCCCTTCAGTCTCCTGATCTACGTCCTTCGTGCTCAGGTTGGTCTTAGTCCTGGTGAAGGATAGTACTTTGACCTTGACCTGCTGGCCTTTGCTCAAGACGTCTGCCACACTGGTCACGTGGCCCCCATGCCACAGTTCAGAGATGTGCAGCAGGCCTTCTCAGTGCTTCCTCAGCCCCCGGAGCTGCACCCAACTGCAGGATGCTAGTGACCTTTCCTGTGTAGATGCGGCCAATGGCTGGCTCCTTGGGTGGTGGGTGGCCCACGTGCTTGTCCCATCACCCGGCCAGGCTCCTCTCCCCACACGTGTCCCTGTGGTCCTTGCAGCTCTGCGAGGTGTGCGTGCGTGCCTGCGTGCATACATGCCTGTGTGGGGGTGCTCGGGTTCGTGCTCCTGGACCGCTGTCTGGACTTGCTTTTTATTCCTCTCCTGGGTCCAGGAATGAGACCGCCAAGGGCAGGACTGGTGTCTGCACCTATGGACTCTGTATCCATCACACTCTCTGTCTGGGTCCTAATCCCTGTCCCAGTCCTGGTCTCAGCTCCGGCTCTGCCTTTTCTTTTTCTCCCTGTTCCAGTACTCATCATCTCTCTGCTCCTCCTGGCCTGCTGTGGGGCTGGGCATCACAGCCCCCTGCTCTTTCAGGATGTCCAAAGGGACCTTCATGTCATCCTCATCCAGCATGGTCCAGATGGTGGGGTTGCTGGGCTGGCAGAAGCCCGGGTATGGCTCCTGCAGCTTCTTCTTGGGATGCCGCTTAATGTCAGGCTCTTTGCTGGTGGATGGCTTTGGCTGGCGGCCACATGGTCTGGATGAGGGCCAGCAGGTTTCTGATCCAATGGAGAGTCTATGAATTCTGCACCATTTTTTGACCAGGGAAGCCTTAAAAGTATCACAGGTGGTATTTTTCTCAGCAAGGCTTGAGGACAAAATCAGCCAGTGTTGTGGTACAGCAAGAGCACCTCAGTGCTATAGCCAAGTGTCACAGCCGAGTGTCAGAGCTCAGTGCCCCAGCTTTGTGTTACGGCCAAGAGCCACAGCTGATCAGGTGCAGCTGAGGTTTGCAACTCAGTGTTGCAACCAAGTGACAGAGTGCGGAAGGCACGGCTGAGTTTTACAGTTCAGAGTGGTGGCTCAAAGTACTAACTCTGAGGCACAGCTGAGCTTCACATGCCAGTGTGGTGGATCTGTGTAGCAGCTCTGAGACCCAGCTGAGCTGTATAGCTCAGCGTGGCAGCTCTGAGGCAGAGCTGGTCTTTACAGCTCAGCGTGGCAGCTCTCACAATTTGCAGGCTCCAGAATCCGATGGTCAGGGGAAGAGGTGGAGAACACAACCAGACTGAACTCAGTCTTGCAGATGCCTCTGTGAGGCATCTGCACAGGCAAGGGCCAATCATTAGCAACAGGAAGATGGCCATCAGGTTCCAAGTAGAGGGGCAACTGATGGTGTCCCAGGAGAGACTTCAAAACCCACGAGTTTGGGATTGTTCCCGGAACCTGGCAGCTGGTCTCACAGAGTCCTTTTACAGCTCGGTGAATGACCGCTGATATGTTTACCTAGAAAAACAGCACGCTTCCCCAAGAAACATACATGTCCCCCGCCCCGTTTCCTGCTCTTAGTAAGCCCAAGGCATGCGGTTTTGTAGAATGACTCCAGCTTAAGGATCATTCTCTTTTGGTAGTTCTTACAGTAGAATTAGAGATTTCTCCTAAGCAGTTAGTTAGTTAACTCACGAGAAAGTGACTGGTAAGTGAGGGCTGCCGTGGTTATACCTGGGACTCCAGTCCCAATCCCTGAACCTACTATCCTAGGCCTACTATCAGGGGTATCAGGAAGGGAGCTCAGCATTGTCGGATATGAACCTGGACTGGGATTGGGAAGTCAGTGTCTCCAGGGCCAATGTTTATCTTGGTGCTAAGGTAAGCAAGACTACAGGTTCCTGTCCAGTTAGTAGGGAGGCAGAGGTAGGCAGAAGTCCTGCAGAGTGAGAAAGTGCTGGGAGAGGACAGCCAGGAATGGTTGAGGACATTAAAGAGGTGCCTGATGGCTTTTTTGTCTCCCTCCCATGCACCCAGTGTGAATGCTAGGAGTGCTCCCGTAAGAGGGGGTGCTTGCCCTGAGTGAATCCGTTGAGTAGCACCTTGAGGTTTTTTTTTTTTCCTTCTGGTGTAGGAGGATCCAGTTTGTATCAATCTGTAGCCAGTCTTGTGAACCTTTAAGATTGCCTAAGAGTAGGCAGGGAGAAGGGGTTGGAGCTGCCATGGTTCGCAAGAAGAAATCCCCTAAGTAAGGGAGCTCATGCCCATTACAGACTTGGACTCCACACTGATCGGCCGAGAGGTATCTAGTTTGGGCTGACCGGTGAGGTGGTCATCAGTGCCCGTGTCGATCCATGTAGTAAGATCTTCGTGGGGTGAGTGTATGATTAAGGTAAAGGTACAGTCAGAGGGCAATAGATGTCCCAATGCCTTAGGAGGCTCCAAAACATCAGAGGAGCAGAGGCCTTCCTGAGTTGGGGGGTTGCTGCTTTATACAGAGGAGGGCTCAGAAGGTGAGCTTCACGTGCGTAGAGATAGGGCCAAATATAAGTCTGTGTTTCACGGTCTGACTTCTCTATAAAGGCTCTTCATGAATGAAACAGTGACCTTCATGGAAGGAGGGTTTGAACAATCTGTAGGATGGTAGCCTGATGTGGACAATGCCCAAACCTGAGGTGAGACAGGTGTGGCCTCTGTACAGCCTGAGGAAACAAAGGCATAACCAGCTATCTTCTGCAAGATTGGGGTGAGACAAATTTAGTAAGGCATGGACCAGTGGTAGGGTATTAGGTAAAGGTACATATAGTAGGTCTGGGTCATCGTGTCCTGAGACTATCGCCATGGAGATCAACAGTAACATTAGGCTATGAGTGATGGCCTGAAATCTGTTAGGTTTGGGGGAACAACTTATCCTCAAAGCAGACAGAATAAAGCAAGGGCAACGAAACTCCGATGGAGGCTTGTAAGCAGTGCAAGGAGGTCTAGAAACCAGGGATGATGTGGGGTGATTTTTAAGGCATCCCATGAATGGTGTCCTTAGGCTTCGGGCATGCATGGATTAGTCAGCTCCCTTCGTGACTAGAGCAGGGCTGCTGTCTGCTGGTGCTGTCTGTGAGGCAAGGTTGAGTCCTGAAGTCTCCCGTCTTAGTCAGGTCAGACAGGATTCTTGGGGCCTGGGTGTGTAGTCCAGATATCCGGGACCTCTGCGAGGAGGGCCTTTTCTTTTTTTCAAATTTGAGTATGATGTATCCCTGGGATAGTACCAGTAACTTGGGCAGCAGTGGGGGTAGCAAGCACAATGGTATAAGGCCCAGGTCAAAAAGGTGGGAGGGATGTCTTTTTCTAATCTTTAACCCAAACTGAATCTCCTGGTTGAAAGGGATGTGCTGGGTTCCCATTAGGGAGGGATTTCTTTCTAAGACCCTTCCATTAATCTGTGAAAAGATTTGACCCAAGGTTCGCAACTGTAATACTATATAATTATGTGCTAGTTGTCTAACATTTTGCAGGCCATGTCCCTCTCCTCTTTCTGGGTCAGGAGGACCAGGAGGTCAGTGAGATGGATCTGCATAACAGTGATCAGGCTGGCCTCCTGGTATTCAGTCTTGGGCTCCTTGGGGTACAGGATCTCTTTGGGTTTGGAGCATTCGGGGATGGTGAAGATGGGGGCTTCAGAGAAGTACTGGGAGGGCTTCATCCCATCCAGTGTGGCCAAGGTGACGAGCAGCTTCATGTCCCCCTGTATCTGCACAGTCTTCCTCAGCAACCCGAACAGCACGTTGGCTTGGACCATCCCCTTGTGTGCCTCACCCAGCATGATGATCGTGAACGCTGTCAAGTCACAGTCGATTAGGCACTCTCAGAGCAGCATGCTGTCCGTCATGTACTTCATGTTGGTCTCTGGGCTGGTGCAGCCTTCGAAACGAATGGTGTAGCCCACCTCTTGAACCAAGCAGCAGCTGAAATCCACAGACACTCTCTTGGCCATGGACATGGGGACGACACACCTGGACTGGGGAGACCTGATCTTGCTCAGGACGGGTATGCAGCCCTAGCCAGGTACTGAGTGATCTGGGTGGTCTTTCCAGACCCAGCCTCTGTGATAATGATGAGGATCTGATTGCCAGGGATGGCCTGCACCACCTTCCCCTTCAGCCTGTAGATGGGCAGGCAATCCCAATGCTCCTCAGGACATCCACAGCGACATTCAAATCATCCTCATCCAGCATGGTCCCGAAGGTGGTGTAGGCGGAAAGGCACTGAAGGAAGCGGCAGACAGAGTGTCTGGCCTGCACTGTCCCGGAAACAGCTCCTTCCGCTTCTCCTTCTCGCTCTTGGGCATCACCATGGGAACTCGACTCCTGGATGGCTTGGCCGGGGCCCGCATGCACTGGAGGAGATTCTCATGTGGGCATGTGTGTGTCTGTGGGTGTCTGGGATGAATGTATTTTAAGGTAATGTGACATATAATACATTCCTCCTTCTTAGTGTATCACCCTCCTCGCATGGAGTCTGTGTGACCCTTTAACATAGCTATGGAGAGTACACGACCTTCCTGCTGCCCGGCGGGGCCAGGTCGAAGATCCGGGTCTGCATGTCGCTGGGCAGGGCGGCATACACGGGCAGGATGATCACCTCGGGGACATCGGGGCCCAGGGACTTCATCCTCTCGTACAGGATCTCGCAGGCCATGTTGATCTCCTCCTGCCCGGTCAGGAAGACCAGGATGTCACCCGGCGGCTCGGTGAGGTGGATCTGCATGGCGGTGATCAGGCTGGCGTCCAGGTAGTCGGTCTCGGGCTCCTTGGCGTACAGGATCTCCACGGGGTACGCGTGGCCCGGCACGGTGAAGATGGGGGCCTCGCAGAAGTACTGGGAGAACTTCACCGCGTCCAGTGTGGCCGAGGTGACGATCAGCTTCATGTCCCGCCGCTTCTGCACAGTCTCCTTCAGCAGCCCGAACAGCACGTTGGTGTGGATGGTCC